CTTAAGTACTATCTATATTGAAGAGACATGGAGAGAGTGGACAGCCTTGCCTTGCCCCTGATTTTAATGGAATTGATTTAATTTCTCTCCATTTAATTTGAGTTTTGCTATTGGCTTGCTGTATATTGTCTTTATTGTATTCATGGATGCGCCTCATATCTCTGATCTCTCCAATAATTTTAACGTGAAGGGGTGTTGGATTTTGTGAAAGGCCTTTTCTTCATCTAGTGACATAATCATGTGTTTCTTTTCTTTCAATATAATTATGTGGTCAGTTTTATTGATGGGTTTTCGTATAATAAACAATCCCTGAATCCCTAGGATGAAGTCTACTTGATCATGGTGGATGTTGTTTTTGATGTGTTTCTGGATTTGGTTTGCAGCTATTTATGTAGGGAATGTGAAAAATCCTTTATCCATGGTGTTCATACCGGAGTGAGACCTTACATATGCAAGGAATGTGACAGATCTTTTCGGGAGAGGTCAATTCTTAGTAAACATCAGAAAAGTCATACTGGAGAGACAATTTACAAATGTAGAGAATGTAACAAATCCTTTACCCCAGTGAGCATATCTTAGAACTCACTATCACAGAGTTCATACTCGAAACAGACGTCATGTATCTGTAAGGAATGTGCCAGATCTTTTGTTACATTCTCAACTCTTAGAACACACCAGAAAGAAATTCATACTGGAAAGAAACATTCCAAGGGTATGGAATATGAGAAATCCTTTACCCAGGACTCACATCAAAGAGTTCATACTGGAGAGAGACCTTACAGATGTACTGAATGTGACAAAGCTTTGACCAGATGCTCTCACCTTAGAGCACATCAGAAACTTCGTACTGGAGAGAAACATACTGTTCTAAATAGTGTAACATAGCATTTATCCAGTATACTCTCTGCTTATAAATCTCAAGATATTCATAGTGAAAACATAAGAATAAGAATCATATGAAAGCCTTTAATGAACTTTTAAATCTCCGAAAATATAAGACTCTAAGTTAAAACAATATTTTGCGAATTGAACTGTGTAAAAAGCTTCTCTCTCCGCTATCAATGTTAAAAAGGTTTATAAGGGATGTTTTCTTTGACTTGTAAAATAGTTGAATTTCACAGAACTTCATACATCCTTTTGGTTACCCCGGCCACTCTTCTTCCTTTCTTCCTGCCCCATCCCCAGTTTCATATTTAACACATGTTACTTTATGCCTAGTTCTTTCATATCACTTATGATACTGTCCTGTCATTATAATTTTTTTAGTTTGTTTGCAAAATGATAGGGGCCCATGTAGCTTCCTCGTAGACATATCCTTTGGGTTAACCACTCAGCAGCCCTTTCATCTCTCCAATGCATACTTGAAGCATTCTTTCCTAGTATTCACCCTCTAATTTCATACACCCATAATCTACTCTGTATCCTTTCTTCCTGAATCTCCCTCTATTGGTCCATTTCTAGCTTCCTAGCATCTGCATGCAGCCTTACTTCAACAAACAAAACAACAATGAGAGAAAGCGTGTGTGCTTTGACTGCTGGGGACTGGTTGGTACCAGTCACCATATTTTCCAGTTGCCTATATTTGCATCCAGATTTCACACTTTCATTTTTATTTACAACTGAATAATGTATCATGTTCTATAGATATGTATCACATTTTCATTTGCCTGTGTGTCAGTTGATGGATAACTGAGTTGATTGCAGGCCTAGACACTGTGAAGAAAGCAAGAAGATGATTGGCAAATGATCATTGGTAAGATAGAAACGCCTTAGATTTTATGCCCAAGATAGGTTACTATGTATCAGAATTCTCTGAGATTTAACTTTTTCATGTTGAAGGATGCTCTGTAGAAAAATAGGGTGTTAGAGGAAAGGGAAACTAACTGGATGCCTTAATGGCTGGGGAGTAAATGGGCCATGAACTGTCCAACCTATAGAGACTCTCCCAGTGCTCAGAAGTAGAAAACTTACTAGCTTCAGGGAGTCCAAGAAACTGACAAGATTCAGTAGAGCCTTCCTGCCTCAGTCATACATAATTGGCAAGGACTGCTGACAGGGGGAGACAAGATGAGCTTTACAGAAGATGCTCAGACCAGCCATGAGTCAGATACCAGTCAAGCTGCCTGGACCAGAGAATACAAGGCAAGCTCCTGGAGGAGGTATTGAGTGGCTTGAAAGACATACTTCCCAACTCAGGTGAGCTGCATGGAACTGCAGTGATCCTCGGGTTTCCATCTTTATTATCCATGACTCTCCACAAGTGGCAGCTGTCATTGAATCCTTTCTATTTCTATCAGAAGCCCCTCACCCACATTCTTGTAAGTCACCCTGATAAAACTCACTAGTTCACTGGGCTTTACAAATGACCCAGGGTTTAAAAACACTGTGTGCTCCTGTGAAGATTCACTATGTTTTCCCAGCATCCTCTCATGAGGACTCAATCTCTAATCTCAACTCCAGGGCCTCCAATGCCCTCCCTTTTCTGGCCTCTGTGAGGACGAGGGACATGTATCATACACAGACATAAATCCAGACAGCACAACCTAAAAAGAAACCACACTGGTTCATTAAGGTGGACTTTGTTGGTTCCCCAATATTGATTTATCATTGTTTCCTTATCTGTGATAAGTAGACGATTGTCCTTGTTTTCACAGGAATGTCACACATGGGTGCTGTAATTCGGGTCACATAGAAGTTTTCTTTCTTTAGTTATTCATTTATTTCATTGGGGGCATCTAGACTGAGTTCAAAAGTTGATTCTCTAGTTTTTAATATCATAGTAATGTGTGACCTCTCTCCACATTTATGGCAACATTACTTATCATTTATGTTCCTGATGATTGTAGCTAGGGTAGCATCGAAGTTGATCTTTATTTTCCTGAGCGGTCCCTAACTCTTGTTTGTTCAGTTTGGTTTTAGTGTGGCTTTGTTGTTGCTATGTGTTTATTTGTTTTGCTTTGCTTTACATTTTTCATTTTGAGCTTATTATATAATTAGAACATTTCTCCTCTTTCTTCCTGCCAAATCTTTGGAAATACTCTCCTGTTCTTTTTCAAATTCTTGACCACTTTTTAAAATTAGTTGTTATTGCATACATATATGTCTGTAGTGGACTTGTAGTAGGGTCATTGCATGTATGGTAAACATCAGAATGAATAGTTGTTTTCTAGCAGTGCTTAAATCTTGAATGATGCTTCTGGTATCATAAAAGCTATTCCTCAGGCAGGAGTTTGCTTTATTTTGAGACAGGATCTCTCAGTGTATTGCCACGTGTCTGGACTTTCTATGGTGTCCAGAGGGCTTTGAACTCACATTTCACCTTGCTTCTGCCTCCACAGAGCTTAGTTTGAAGGATTGCATGACCTCGCTCAAATAAACATAACTTTTTGTTATCATGTCTTTGTTTGGTGTATTACTTACTGTGTAACCTTGGCTGACCTGAAACTCAGTACACCAGGCTGGCCTTGAACTTACAGAGATCTACCTGACTCTGCCTCTTGAGTGTAGGGATTAAAGCAATGTGCCACCACTGATCATCTTGTAATGCTCTGACTGTTACCCAAGGTAAAGGCACAGCCTACTTGATAAAAATGAGTTAAAAAAATGGAGCTTATGTCTGCTAAAGACTTCTATACCCTATATTAAAGACTTCTATTACCCTAAATTAGAAGACTAATTGAAATATATGAGGTTCCAGTGCATATAACACAACAAATGTAAACAACATGAAATAAGTAATATGAACAGGACTTCAAGTAGGAATGTGACTTAAGCAATTATACAATGTAACCCTGAAAACAACTCCATGACCAGATTGACAGAAATGTATTACAACTTCTAAGAAAAAACAGCAAAGCTACATTTGATACATCTTGACACAAAAAAGCAAGACTTCCTGACTCCATTACCTGTCATTAAAGCAGATAATGAACTCAAAATGGTGATACATACCTTAAATCCTATCATTCCCAACATGGTGGTACATGCCTTAAATCCTAACATTCCAGAGGCAGAGTCGGCTGATCTCAGTGATTTCAAGCCCAGTATGTCTCAAAAAGCTGA